GTCGTCTGCAAAAAGCAGAGACGAGATCCTGTGGTCACCAAACCGGACTCCCTCCGGCCCCTGGCTGCGCCTAGAAATTCTGTCCATAAAAATAATGAACAGAACCGGTGACAAAGGGCAGCCCTGTCGGGGTCCAACATGCACTGGAAACAAGTCTGACTTACTGCCGGCGATGCGAACCAAGCTCCTGCTCCGGTCGTACAGGGACCGGACGGCCCTTAGCAAAGGGCCCCGGACCCCGTACCAGATCCACCAAACACATGTGGACTGGTTGGGCAAACTCCCATGAACCCTCCGCCACCCTGAAGAGGGTATAGACCGCCACCCTGAAGAGGGTATAGAGCTGGTCCAGTGTTCCACGGCCAGGACAAAAACCGCATTGTTCCTCCTGAATCTGAGGTTCGACTATCGGTGGAATTCTCCTCTCCAGTACCCTGGCATAGACTTTTCCAGGGTACTTTGGATAATTTGCATTATTATTTTGATTTATTTAGCACACGCTCAGCTACTGTGGAAAGCTGAGGAGAGATGTGAATAGAGAGACCTGACAGATGGATGTACTGATTTAGTTGTGTTTCACACAGAGAATAAACTCTCCTGTGGATGGCAAACCCCTGTCTACGATTCGTCACTAAAGACACAATGCAGAGATTTAACTTGTTGGCTGTGTAGAGATGAGACCGGCTACACATGCATGCTTGGAAACACAAATACATCCTTTATATGTAACAGATCATCTATAATTGCATCTCAATGACAGCAGGGAAATAAATCATTTGAAGGCTAAGCTAGCTGACATTGCTGTGGAGTCACAGCATATACAGGCGTGCCCAGCCAGCTGTTACTCAGTTGTCTTTAAGTCCAGCTATGTTTTCATACACACTAGGCTCACTGTTCATTTTAAATTCCTTTGAGACCCATAACCACTGGAGCTTTATGAATTGAAAGGATAAGCAGAATGCTTCTGTCTTTCTTGCAGCTAAGGGAGGCTAAAACGTCCTGCAAAACCAAATAAAAAGAGAGCAAGAGGGTGTAAAATTGATTAATCTAGTCAGTGTTGTATCTTGTACTTGTGACTACTTTGGGATAATGACTTGCCCTTTATTGGCAATAACCCACAGTCCTTATTCTTGAACATTACACCCATGTAAAATCCTAACTTTATATTTATTGTCAGTCTCTTCATCATTGACAGTTACCAAAGACAGGTGGAGGGTTGGGGCTGGCAGGGTATTGTGAGTAGAAGGGTATGTGTGTGTTGTACTTGAAAAGGCAAAGCACAGAAAACATTAATTATAAAATTCTCAAATCACCAAACTAAAGATAGCTAAACCAAAACTGTTTCGAAAATTCCAGAGGAAAAATCGTGTTTCAAAATGCTCCTTTAAGGTAATGAGGCAGGCCCGTGGCACACAAAAGCAGAGGGCAGTGCCATGGCAAAGCAACATGTTTTCAAATGGCTTTCATTTTAGCTTGCATGAGGCATGTTTATCACATTTCTATTGAAGAATAAGATTACACCCCACCCCCACTGAGAGCATACATTCCTTTAAAATAAAAAGAACAGAAAAAATGTGAAGCAAATCAAGGGACCTTTGTGCCTTGGGTCCTCACCATCAACTGAATGATGTAATTTTTCCACTAAAACAAAATGTGATATCACTCTTAGCTCTATTACACTCTATTCACTGAAATGAGCAAGGGCGAAATATTAAAGCCACTTTTATACTGTCCATTTTTATGGGTATGAGGTTTGAGAGATGATGATTAGTGCTGTTGCCTCACAGCATGAAGGTTCTGGGTTCAAGCCCCGCCCCACCCAGTGTTTTCCCTGTGCCTGCGTGGGTTTTCTCTGGGTACTCCTCCCACAGTCCAAAGACATGTAGCTTATAAAGAACCATAATAGTTCTATTTAGGGGTTCTGTATGTACTAAGATACAAAACCTAAAAAGTTTATAGAATCATTAGTTTTAAAATGCAGGTGAAAATCTTTTTTATTTTTATAATTTTTATATATGATCCACACAGATGCAAAATTCAAATATCTTCTCTCCAAAATAAATGAGGAGGAGAAAACCAAATCCAGATAATATAACAAATGCAATATGTTAGCAAGCACACTAACAGTATGTTAATGTGACTATTTCTGATTGTAATAGGTGATTCTTTCAGATGGCACAGCTCCCTGTTGACAACCGTTGCTTTTGGCCCTGATATTTGATCGATAAGCCAACATTTTAAGGTGCTTTCTTGTGGAGACCTTCCAGTCAAATTAATGATGCAGGTTAATTGGCTTGTCATCATTTGGGAGTTCACTGGGAAAGGAGCAGGGGCTGTTTAAAAAGGAACAACCTAGGGATGTACCATGCCTCCTCAGTGTACCATCTTTAGGTTTTATTGATAGCCTTCCCATGTTTTAGTTGACCATCAAATTGCTGGACTTATGTGTCTTTTGCTTTTCACTGGGTCAATACAGTTAAGAGGAAAACGTTTGCCAAAGAAACAGCAAGAAAAGCATGTCAGATCAAGGACTTGTAAAAACAAAGGTCATTATGACTCCAGTCTGAACATGCTTTTCCACATTGGATGCTATGTCCATACACCTGGTTTCCTCCTACAGATCATCCAGGGATTGGGTCACTTCCATCCATTGCTGCCTCTAATTAATCTGAGTCTGGATGGACAGTATTGGCTTGCCATTTATTAGTGGCTCTACAATGGGATGCCATCATAGTGTCAGTGTCATATATTAACCTGAATAAGTCATGAGGAGGCTAGTAAAGCTGCAGAATCCCCCTACATTAAAATAAATTACTTTCAGGCAGGAAAAACGAGGCACATTTTGTTAATATGCATGTAGACGGAATGATCGAGGGAGGCTGAGATAGGCAGAGATAAATACAAGAAGAAAGAAAGGCAGAGAGATGAACATTAGGGACGAGGGACAAATTAAACCTCCATAGTGAGAAGGACAGTCAGTTACTGGGCGAAGATGCAGACTAAGTGCTTTAGTTTTTGGTGAGAGGGGCAGAATTAAAAATGGTTATTCTGATACAGACAGACCTTTAATTTGGTAGAAACACAGCAGTTTTATAGATACTGCTGTTAAGGACCATTATTTCTTTTCTTCTTCTTCTTCTTCTTTTTTTTTACTTAACTGCAAAATATTTGACCATTAGCTAAATCACAGCCAGTCATTCTTATGCTTTGGTTTGTGATTCCTTGTTACCAGTTGTTGGGCTAAGCTTGCCTAACAACACAGGCAGTAGGTTCAATGGGTTCATTAGTTGAAAATGTGTTTGTTAATACTGTTTGCACCCTTAAATCACATAATGTATTGGAGTGATTGAAGTATGAAGGCAGTACCAGCCCCCAAGATTAGGCAATTACTGTATCTCATTGTTTCTGTGTATACTGTGCTTACATGATGCATTTACTAAATAAATTTGTGCTTAAACAAGTCAACACAAATTAATTACTAAATTTCTAAATGCACAGTGCACAAAAAGTGGGAGAAATGGAGTGTCAGTAGTGGCCCACAGTTCATTTTTAGCTGGGCGCTTCATGGTTAATCTGGCTCCGATTAACTTCACTGAGATCAAAAAACACACAGTTGTGGCCTGGCATCATAAAGCATGTTGTTTTTCCTATTCTTACAGTATGGGGCCTTTTTCCCTTTTAAATCTGGTGGCAACCACAGAGCTATGCAGCTTCCAAGTGTTATTTAGTACCAACTATTTTGCTTTTTTTTTTTTTAAGTATTTCACCGCATCATTTACCTCTGTGATGGTTTGCTTATTAGCTAGGCACATTCCCTGCCAAGCATTTTGAGACAGGCTCTTGGTGAAAGTTTATGCCAGATATTTAGGGATGATTGCATCTGCTGCTTGAAGGCAAGCTGGTTCTTTGCAAGGTCAGACATCATCCCCACCCATCAATAGGGTCAAAGCATAACTCCACTGAAGATAACAAGAGGGGAGATTTCTAATGTGAAAATATTGCTGTGGCATTTATAGAGAATGTTTGTCTATGGGGTAAAGGAAGGTGAAGTTAACTCATTGCCTGCATCTCATATCTCAAACAATCATTTCTCAATCCACATTTGACCAGAAAATGATTCTGTTCAAGTGAGGATTTAGCAGCGAGCACGTTTCTGGGGGAGCCATAAGTGCAGATACAAGAGAGAATCCTTTGAGGAAGTCTTTTGTGCCTCCCAAAAAAATTAATCATGATGTACCTTATTTTATTGCCAAGGCCTTCAATAGTAATGTCAAAACCTGGCTTTCTCCACCTGATGAAGAAGGCAGTCCCAGTGTTAAGAACATACTTTTCCACCAGTGAAATCCCTTGCATGTACAAAAAGGTAAGAGCCCTTGTTGAAGAACAACTGCAAGAAGCTGTGTAGTATTCAGCCACCTCAGACCTGTGGACCAGCACAGGGGAACCATTTATAAGTTTTACAGTCCACTACCTTTCCTCAGACTGGCAGCTTAAGTGCCATTGTCTGGAGACTCATTATTGTCCCCAAGAGCACACCTCAGAAAACATCTGAAAACATGCTCTAGGATTGGACTGTTCCAAAGGAAGGTCTGTGTGTAATTACCACAGACAATACAACAAATATGACGAAGGTCTTTTTGGAGTTCCAGTGTGTTTGACTCATTTGTTTTGGCCACAATTTAAATTTGGCATTTAACAAAGTCTTGAAGGATTCAAAGAGGGGAACCTGCTGTCAAACCATGACCAACACTTTATTCAGGGATTTTCTTGGAGTTGAAAAAGAAAAGTTATATTATGTTATATGCTGTATGAGATGTACATGTCTCTTCCTACATCGGGACTTATGCTGACCCTCTGGCTCGGCGGAAAATCCTTGCTGAAGAAATGCCTCTTCTGGCAAATGTGACCAGGAAGCAGTGTTGTGCTCAAATCACTAAACTCTCACTCTCAGTCAAACTTTACTTAATTAAATAGAACCTGAGACCTCTACAGAAAATCTGGAGTATAATGAGTTTCTGGGTGTTCTTGTTGTGGTTCAAAACAAATAAATGCTCTTGTTTAGGTCTGCTATGACGACATCTGGATTTATTATTGTTATTATTATTATTATTATTATATGCTTTTTTTAAAAATCTATTTCAGAAGCACCAAATACTGTAATGGCTGACACAGAACAGAGAACCTTTAACTTCTTTATTCAGGTCCAGAAACTGAAGGGTGAATATTAGTCTGTTCATGCCACTAACAATAAATGACATATGCTTTTTAGAGTTACTCAGCCAATCTTGATGCACAAAGACAATGGAGATGTTTATAATGGTGCTTTGCACCTGGGCCACTGCCTGCTTCGAATTAATCAGTTTGAATCAAGTGTGCACTTTACAAAAGATACACACCATCTTATCATTTGAGTGTGTAAACCATATAATGTATGTTTTGTAAAGAAGTTTAAATGTCAAAGGCATTTGCTTGCTCGTTTCACATAAAAAATTGTAAGGCTGATTTAAAGCACTTGTAATCTTGCAAACACACACATATATATTCATAGAGGATTATGTTTTCTGGCATGATAGAGCTGGACAAACCTCAAAAGAATATGTTCTCTTCCTACCAGGTCTGCTTTGTGATTTGTATGCTCAAATCAATCAGGGTCCCTTGTTCTAATCAGTCTCACTTATATCAC